TGAACTCACGGACCGCGAGATCATGACCCAAGCCGAAGTCGGACGCTTAACCGACTGAGCCACCCAGGCGCCCCTCTTTTTTTAGATTTAAAAAGTATGTATTTATTTTTGAGAGACAGAGAGAGAATCTTAAGCAGGCTCCACACTGCCAATGCAGAGCCTGTTGTGCGGCTTGATCTCACGTGAGATCAAGACCTGAGCCAAAATCAAGAGTTATAGGCCTAACCTGACTGAACCATTCTGGTGCCATCTAGGGCAAACTTTCTAAGCCTTGGCATCAGTGACCTTTTTTTTTTTTTTTTTTTTTTAAGTTTTACTTATTTTTTTATTTTATTTTTATTTAAAAAAAAATTTTTTTTTCAAACGTTTATTTATTTTTGGGACAGAGACAGAGCATGAACGGGGGAGGGGCAGAGAGAGAGGGAGACACAGAATTGGAAACAGGCTCCAGGCTCTGAGCCATCAGCCCAGAGCCTGACGCGGGGCTCGAACTCACGGACCGCGAGATCGTGACCTGGCTGAAGTCGGACGCTTAACCGACTGCGCCACCCAGGCGCCCCAAGTTTTACTTATTTTGAGATAGAGGGATAGAGACACAATCTGAAGTGGGCTCCACGGTGATGTGGGGCTCTAGCTCTCATGAACCTTGAGATCATGACCTGAGCGGAAATGGGATACTTAAAACTGACTAAGCCACCCAGGTGCCCAGCTAATGGTAGTTATGATGGGATGGATAGATCTGTTGTAGGGAGCCGACCTTTCTATACCTTGTCAGATGGTTGTCAGATTATCTCTGTGTTTTGACAGTTGCTCCTGGAAGAGGAACAGAACCCTCTACTCCACTCCACTCTCTTTTCCTTTGGTAACCACTGCTATAAAGTGCATACTTAAGGCCAAACAAAAACATGGAATGTAAAAGTAATCCACTTCACCCAAGCCTTTTTTTTTTTCTTTATAGAAATTTGGTTAAATTTGTTTTGTATACATTTTGTCAATTTGTATTTTTCATTAGCCTTTTGATTCTACGTAATATTCTTAAAAAATAAAATGTTCTTTTTCCCTTACTGTGTTATGTGCAGCAGGATGTATTCCCAGTTACTTACATTGCTTTAAATGAAGTTCAGTTATCTAATATCAAAGATACAATGGTTTAAACAATTTGGAGTTTCATTTGCAATGTTGACATGTAGTGTACCTGGAAACTGTCTTCTTTCTACCTTCTTTGTTTACTTTTATCTTATTTGACATTTGATTTTGCAACATCATTTTTGATCACCAGTACATTTTTAGTGGGCTTAATGAAGAGATTTAAGAATTTGGTACTTAAGCCTGCGTGAACTGGCAGATGTATTTAAAATTCTAGATCTTACTTAATATCTCTTCTGAGAGAATCAGTGATACTGTTAATTTTAGATATCAACAATTTCCCATAATAAAGATTTGCTCTAATGGACTTGGCAGTGTATGAAACTATACTGACAGGAAGATGTATCTGGTATGTTACCATCTCCTTGTTTAAGTCATAAAAAACATTTTGAATCTTACTTGACTCTTGACCCCAGTTGTCCAGAACTTCAATATCTAAGTAAGATACAAAAGGTTAGGGGCGCCTGGGTGGCGCAGTCGGTTAAGCGTCCGACTTCAGCCAGGTCACGATCTCGCGGTCCGTGAGTTCGAGCCACGCGTCGGGCTCTGGGCTGATGGCTCGGAGCCTGGAGCCTGTTTCCGATTCTGTATCTCCCTCTCTCTCTGCCCCTCCCCCATTCATGCTCTGTCTCTCTCTGTCCCAAAAATAAATAAAAAACGTTGAAAAAAAAATTAAAAAAAAAAGATACAAAAGGTTAAAGAAAATTAAGGATGAGAAATTTCTGAATATTATATAAGTTATAAAAATAAGTAATGAATTTGGGATTTAAAAGCCTGTTATCTTTAAAATGCCAAATTGTTTTATTAACGTGAAGACCAAAATTATTGTACTGTAGCCTAATAGGTTTTTATTCAGCCATGACTTTTACTAGTTCTCATACTTCTTTCTCTCTGTCTTCTGTTCCAGCACAAAAAGACAGTCTTCTTGACCAAAATTTGAGTCATTCAGTATTGTCAGATTGTATATTTCACCCACTTTGTTTATATTTTATTTTGTTTTATGGTAGTATCACTTCATTCAAGGGAGATCCATTCCAAGATTCCCATTGGAAGCCTGAAACTGTGCATAGTACCAGATCCTATATATTGCCATATTTTTTCCTATACATACACACCTAAGATAAAGTTTAATACATAAGTCAGACCTGGTAAGAGATTAATAACAATAACAATAAACTAAAACATCTGTAATGATGTACTGAAATAAAAGTTACGTGAATTTGTTCTCAAAATATGTTGTATGTACTCACTATTGTGATGATAGGAGATGATAATTAAATGAGATGAAGTAAGGTGAATGATGTACATATTGTGACATTAGACTACTCTTGACCTTTTAATTGGGGTCATCTACTTGCAGAGTGCAGTTGACCACAGGTAGCGGAAACTACGGACAGTGAATAGCTGATTGTAGTGTAATTTCAGACATGTAGAAAACCTGTAAGACTAGTAAAGGAATCACCACCATAGAGCCTTAACTCTGGACCTGCTTTTTTTTTTTTTTTTTTTTTTTTTTTTTTATGTTTTATTTATTTTGGGGAGAGACAGAATGTGAGTGGGGGAGAAGAGAAAGTGAGAGACACGGAATCCGAAGCAGGCTCCAGATTCTGAAATGTCAGCACAGCAGATGGGATGTCCGACATGGGACTTGAACCTGCGAACTGTGAGATCATAACCTGAGCTGAAGTCAGAGGCTTAACCGACTGAGCTACCCAGGCACCCCGAACCCTGGATCTGCTTTAAAAAAAATACATTAGGGGTGTTTTTGATGATACTGAGAGATTACTCTGTTTTGTTTTGTGGGAATATTTGACCTTAGGTACTTTTCAGAGGCACCATACCCAGGATTATTCCTGGAAATGTACCGAGTATACACCAATTATATGTATTTCTTTCTTATGGTTACTCTAAATGCACCATGTATTATGAGGGACTTAATTTGGAATTTTATTGGGAAGATTGAAAAATTTTGAAGGAGAGATTCCTTTTTTCCTGAGGGCAAAGTAAAGAAACCGTTAAGTTCTTGTGTGCTAAACAGTACAAGAGTTATTTTCAAATTAAAATTAATGTTTTTATTTATTTGAGAGAGAGTGAGAGAGCAAGTGGGGGATGTATAGAGAGAGAGGGAGACATAGACTATGAAACAGGTTCCAGGCTCTGAACTATCATCAGTGCAGAGCCCGATGCTGGACTTGAACTGAAACTGCGAGATCATGACCTGAGCCAAAGTTGGATGCTTAACTGTCCGAGCCACCCAGGCACCCCCAAATTAAAATTTTTATATCCGGTTTTCAGTTGTTGATAAGACTTAAGACAGGAAGAAGTTCAGGTTCTGTGGTTTCTTGTGGTTACTGATAATTGTGGAGGAAATCAATAATACTGTTCTTTCATATGTTTTAGTACAAAAATCTTCCTAATTTCTTCTGTAAACCTGTAAAGTTCAGAAAGATTTGATTTTTTTCCTCTAAAAAGTTTCTAAAAAATTTCTCTAAAAAAGTTCAGAAAGATTTGATTTTTTTTTCTAAAAATAGTACAAGAGGAGTGTATCTGTGTGTATTGAGTTAAGGTTAGGATTAGTATGTTTGAAATATATCAGGGTTAGGAGAAAACAATCGAAATATAGTGTATGGTAGTCTCAGTGCTATCCTAAGTTTCTTTGCAAAAACAATGGTTGATTAATTCAGATGGTAGCTACTGTTGAACAATTCTGCCCAGCAGAAATCTGTAGTGATGCCTGAATTTTTCATGTCATGTGTAAGTTTAAATTTATAGTAATTGAAACTAGTGAAACAGTTAAAATAAAAACAGTGAAAAGAAATCAATTAAAGTAATGTTAATAATACATTTATTTCATCAAATATATCCAAAATTTTATTTTAATGGTTAACATATTAGCAAATATTTCAGTTTTCATTCAGTTTAGTTAATTAAAAAAATTTTTTTTTCTTTTTGAGAGAGAGAGCGCGAACATGCACATGCAGGGGTGGGGCAGCAGAAGAGGGAGAGAGAGAATCCCAAGCAGGTTCCACACCCAGTGCAGGCTGCCTTGGGGGCTTGATCTCATAAATTGTGAGATATGACCTGAGACAAAATAAGAGTCATATATTTAATTGACTGAGCCACTCAGACTCCCCTGTTAGTAAATATTTTGTACTTTTTTTTGTATGCATAGGCTTGTGAAATGTGTTATGTGATTTATAATTATAGTACATCTCAATTTGGACTTGCTACTATTCAGATATTAAAAAATCTGATTACTGGGTACTGAAAAAGTCAATAGTCCTTTTTGCCTGTGCCTGTTTGACAGTAGTAGTTTTGTGTTACTAAAGACCAAAATAAATTACTTAGATTTGCAGGTCATATAAAGTCATTAAGGAACTTCTGTTATCTAATTTGGCAAGTCTTATTCTCCCTTTAAAAAAAAATTTTTTTTTAATGTTTGTTTATTTTTGATAGAATGTGAGTGGGTTCGGGGCAGAGAGAGAGGGAGACACAGAATCTGAAGCAGGCTCCAGCCTCCGAACTGTCAGCAGAGCCCGAGCTGTCAGCAGAGAGCGCGATGCGCTCAAGCTGTGAGATCATGACCTGAGTCGAGGTCGGATCCTCAACCAACTGAACCACCCAGGCGCCCCTTATTCTCCCTTATTTATAAGGAAAAAAAGATCATAAGTGATGGCTCCATTAATAAATATTTAAAAAGCTATTTCTTCTCAGGAATTGAATCATAAGTCTGTGGTAAAAATGACATTGATTATTGCTTTGATTTTTTGAGTAAATTTGTAATACATATGCATTGTCTCAGGTTGCAGTTAGGAATTTGTCCTTCTCTTAATACTTATATTTTTCCTTTGTAGGCTGTTCGCTGCTACGAATCTTTAATCTTAAAAGCTGAAGGAAAAGTGGAGTCTGATTTCTTTTGTCAATTAGGTCACTTCAATCTCTTATTGGAAGATTATCCAAAAGGTAATGTTTTTGTCTATTTATTAAAAATTCTCCTTGATATACGTATGCATCACATACAAATTGTTTTTACTTTTTGTTATGGGCACTTACTACTGTTTTTTAATTTCTTCTAGACACATTAAGCAATGAAAAAGAAGGTAGAGTAAATGAAAATGTGAACTTCTAATGTAATTTCATGTAAATATTTAATAAGTTTGATCATCCCATGAAACTCAATAACAGTTTACAATGTATATGGTTATTTTGTTTGTTCTTGTGAAAATCTATGTTCTTTAAAATTTTACCAGTAGACAGGTAATATCTAGTATGGTATCTTTGTCTATAAGTACAAATGTGGACATTTTGGAAAGAATAAGTCTGGAGAGTTTTCCATCACCACCAAAGCAATTCTCCAATTTTCGGAAGTGTCTTACAAGTTTAACTCCATTTTGATACTATATACCTGGAGAGAGTGTCGATCCCACAGGTAAAAGGTTTGGTCCCACATGACAGCCTTTGTGAGAATCCAGTTGCAAGTCATAATTGTTACTGCACTACTGATCAGCCAGATCGTTTGATAATTTTGTAGAGTGGTTCACAAAGCTCAGGGGAACATTTGTTAGTTTATTATAAAGGATATGATAAAGGGTACAGGTGAACAGCTAAACAAAGAGGAATATTACAGAGCAAGGTATGTAAGTGTCCTGTGCTCAGGAGCTTCTTTCCCTGACGAATGGGGGTATATTTACCAAATCAGAGTCTTATAAACTCCTCCAATCTCAGTGCTCAGTAGTTAATTATAGAACTAAATTTGCCTCCTTTTCCCTACCATTGCAGCTTTATTTTGAGACTTCGCATAACTCATCTCTTTAGCATAAATTCTGGTGAACTCAAAACAAATTTTCCCCCCTGCAAAGACAGGTAAACACTATCTTTATTTAATTTATTAAAAAAATGTTTTTTATTTTTTATCTTATTTTATTTTTTTACGTTTATTTAGTTTTGAGAAACAGAGTGAAACTAAGCGTGAGCAGGGGAGGGGCAGAGAGAGAAGGAGACACAGAATCTGAAGCAGGCTCCAGGCTGTGAACTGTCAGCACAGAGCCTGATGGAGGGCTCAAACTCATGAACCGTGAGATCATGACCTGAACTGAAGTCAGACGTTCAACCGACTGAGCCACCCAGGCGCCCCATTTAATTTATTTTTTAAATTTACATCCAAATTAGTTAGCATATAGTATAACAGTGGTATCTGGAGTAGATTCCTTAACATCCCTCACCTGTTCAGCCCATCCCCCATCCCACAACTCCTCCAGTAACACTCTATTTGTTCTCCATATTTAAGAGTCTTTATCAAAACAGGCTCTTACAAATCACAAAAGCTCCTCCTACTTAGACTCAGGAAACTCAAGAGTGTTTAGGAGCTCTGGGGAACAGGGCAGGAAAAAACAGATTTTATTATTCTGCAAATACAAATACTATTTTTCCTTTTTGTTCTTGATATTCTTTAAAACTTTACATTTTAGCTTGAATATACTTAAATCCAATCTTTGTCATGTTGTAATATAATACAGATAATAAAGTGTAAGTTCGAGTCTTGAAGAACATTATTCATAAAAACAAAATTATTTTTTTCTCATGCATAAGTGGAGATATGTAACTTGAGGTAGTCTTTTAAGGTTTATGTTTTTCCTAGATCTGCAAATGCATTTAGTAGGTTAAAATCACTCAAAAAATGATTTTCCTCTCTAGCAGACAATCTCCACATCAAAGAAAATTCATCCTATAAACAAGAATATATTAAACTTTTGATAGTAAATATCTTGGTTGAGTTGGGTGGGTATGTTAAGATTTTCAGCAAATGTGTTTAGTAGAAACATAACACATTGTTTTAGGACTAGAGTTTTGGTGTTTTGGCAGCAGTCTATTGTGTACCACATTTTTTGTTTTTGTTTTGTGTCACAAATCCTTCCTTTTTCTTCTTCTTCTTTTTTTTTTTTTTTTTGTGTGTTATTTTAGTTTATTTATTTTTGAGAGAGTGCAAGTGGAGGGGGAGGGCAGAGGGAGGAGGACTGTGTACTCTGTGCTCACAGCAGCAAGCCCACTGCAGGGTTTGAACTCAGGAAAGTGAGATCATGATGTGAGCCTATGGTGTTGTTCAACTGACTGAGACATCCACATTTTTTTTAAGTATAGGGAAAGAAAAATAGTTTTCCTTCTATCCTGAGTTCTTGACTGAGGTGGCACCCTTCCCTTCCCATAATGAAAGATTAATAAGAGAAAGACAAACAAGTTTATTGATCTGTATGTTTTACATATACATGCAGGAGATACCGAGTAAAAGTGAGTTACTGTTTGATATGCCCTAAGCCACCAATTTAAGCACAACAAAAGACAAAATTAAAATACTGGGTGGGGAGGAGGCTGTTTAGAGAAATTGACCAGGAAAAGCCCTTTAAATAAGAAAAAATTTTCATATGCATATATATTTAGTGCCTTTTTGAAAATGCCTTCAGGAAAATTTCTTGTGATTTAAATTATTCTCTTCCTAGTACTGATCAGTTGACATTTACAAATAGGGATTCCTTTATAAATGTAAATTTTCCTTATAAAAGAGTAATAATAACTTCCAGTATGCTTTTGAAGCTTTTTTGTATTTCCTGTTTGTACATATCATCAGTGAACAGAATCATTATGCCCAAGAGTCATATTTTAAGGTGGCATATTCTGCTCTCAGATATAATAAAGCCAGTGTTTTTACCAATGAAATGCTTTTTTGGTATGAGACAGTATAATGTACTATATGAGACACATAGCATTTATAATCTCAGTGGAACTTTGTTATTTAGAAATGCTTTTTTCTTTTTTTAAATGTTTTTATTTATTCATTATTTTTCTTTTAATTTTTTAAAAAGTTTATTTATTTTTAGAGTGACAGAGACAGAGCATGGGCAGGGTAGGGATACAGAGAGAGAGGGATAGAATCTGAAGTGGAGCTCAAATCCACAAACTGCAAGATCATGATCTGAGTAGAAGTCAGACGCTTAACTGACTGAGCCACTAAGACACTCCATGTTTTTATTTGTGTCTTAAAATAGACACAAATGTGACAGAGAGGGAGAGAGAGGAGAGAGAGAGAGAGAGAGGGCAGGGGAGGGGCAGAGTGAGGCAGAATCCAAAGCACGCTTCAGGCTCCTGAGCTGTCACTACAGAACCTGACATGGTAAGCACCCTGAAATGTTTTAAATTAATAGATTCATGTGCTTCCCTGGACTTTTTACTACTGTGTAGTATAGGAGCTTTATGAATGCTACACAAAAATTTTGCTATTGGAAATGAATTTCACTCCAGTAAGTAATTCTTACCTACACTTAAAATAGACTTAAGAGAGCACTGGGTGTTGTATGGAAACCAATTTGACAATAAATTTCATATATAAAAAAAAAAAAAAAAAAAAAATAGACTTAAGTTTTTTCTCCATAATCTTAATTTCTTAAATCTTAATTTTCTCCATAATCTTAATTTCTTCAATATTCTATACAGTAGATTTCTTGTTTTTTTGTTTTTTTTTATGATAGTTGTAAATAACAGGAAACGGTGACTTAGGCAGTACCGAGCCTTTGCTATTCAGTGGGAAATACAGATTAAGTTTGTTTTTTTTTTTTCTTTTTTCTTTTTTTAGGATTAAGGTTTTAAAAAAACAATTCAGCAGAGTGAATTTGAAGATCTAATTGGCTTTATTAAATAGTAAATGATTCATTAATTGGGCAGCATGCCATCTTGCAAGTAAAGGGAAATTCCAAAGGCCTACAGAAAGGGAAAGGCAAGACAAGGAAGTCATAAACAAAAAAGGATATTTTAGGCAAGATCTTTTTCTCTTAGGGGGAAGGGAACTGTGTCTCATTAGATGTGAGGGATCCCATGTGAGGGATTACTTAATACAGGTGCTGACCACAATATGCCTAATGTGTTAAGACTGCATTTCCGTTGGGGTGGGTTTGGGGTGGGGTGGATTGAAACTGCAGTTAGATTAGGTACTAAGTTTTGGTTTACTTTCTTGGGGCCTTAACCTAAGTGATGCCATTTTGGGCCTGTGCTTTTTCTTTTAGTGTGCTGCCCCCTGTTAAAAAAAATTTTTTTTTTAATATTTATTTATTTTTGAGAGAGAGTGAGAGCCAGGGAGGGGCAGAGAGAGTGGGAGACAAGAATCTGAAGCAGGCTGCAGGCTCTGAGCTGTCCATACAGAGCCCGATGTGGAGCTCCAACTCATGAACCGTGAGATCATGACCTGAGCCCAAGTCACTTGCTTAATTGACTAAGCTACCCAGGCGTCCCTCAGTAGGTCCTTTTTTAACTCGATGGAAATTCAGAGGAGTTGAATAATGAGAGGTCTTACTTTGCTTGTGAGAAGTTGGGACACAGATTTTCTCCTTGCCTGAAATAAAAGGTTGTTCTAAGTTCTAGAGGTTAACTCCCTTAGCAGTGGCCTGGGAGATGCAAAGGAGAGTCTTGTCTTTTCAGGACAGTGTCAGATTTAAAAAGGAAAAAAAAAGGGGGGGGGGAAGGGTTTCATGTTAGTTAAAGTGTGATCTTGGACAGAATTCTACCTTGATGCCTGTTCTGTTTTTCTTCCTTGTTGATTTGAAGATTGTTTCTATACAGGACCAGGTATCAGGTAGAGCTTTCTTTATGTGTGAGATGGCTTAGTACCTTTTAATTTTGTAGCAGTTTCTGTCAGTTGTCAAGAATACTTTATGTGGTCCCCTTTATTATGGGGCTCAAAATATCTAATCACGAGACTCTAAACTGTGACAAGTCGGATCCTTTGAACTGGGATCCAGGAAGGCTTTCATTTGAGGTTCAGACATCAGACACTTAAAGTAGCTACTCATACTAGCATGACCAAAGGGTCACCAGAAGGTTGCGTACCGTAAAATTCCAAGAAGTTTGCAAGGTTTTCTATTTCTTTGGAATAGTCTGTACAATGAGGTGGATGCTTTGATTAGGTGTGCCCCAAGTGAAAAACAGTTTTGCACAGTTTGTCACAGTTTCTTTGTCACTGTTGGGAACAACAGCCTTGCAGCAGGGGAAAGCTTCATCTCATCTGGAAAACACATATAACCTAACAATAATAAACTGATAATCCATACTAAGTGGAAGTTGAAAGAAGTTCCAGCTGCAGGTGTTCCAAGGGTCTCACCAGTATGTATTGATAATTTGAATTCTCATTAAATGCACACAGAGCCCGATGTGGGACTCAGACTCATGTATCATGAGATCATGACATGAGCCAAAGTTAGATGCTTAACTGACTGTGCCACTCAGGGGTCCCTAAACTATCTTTTATATAGAGTATATCTAAATTGTGTGAACTTGAAAAACATCTTGGTTAGTTTCTATCTTTCGAGAGTGTTATAATGACCAATCCTTACAGGGGGCTGTCTTCAAACCACCTAAATAGAGGTCTTTTATAAATCAAATTAAGCTATACCATCTGGAGATAGAAACATATCTCATGGGGCGCCTGGGTGGTGCAGTTGGTTAAGCGTCCGACTTCAGCCAGGTCACGATCTCGCGGTCCGTGAGTTTGAGCCCCGCGTCAGGCTCTGGGCTGATGGCTCGGAGGCTGGAGCCTGTTTCCGATTCTGTGTCTCCCTCTCTCTCTGACCCTCCCCCATTCATGCTCTGTCTCTCTCTGTCCCAAAAATAAAAAATAAAAAACATTGAAAAAAAAATTAAAAAAAAAAAAAAGAAACATCTCACATTTACAACATACATGTTTTTACATATGGACACACAAATAGACGCAAGGATCTTACAGGTAGTACTTGTGGAGAAGATTTTTTAAGATTTGTTTTTGTCCCTGGAATTAATCCTCTGGAGGCTCTGCTGACGTTTGGGTACTAGAGTCCTTTTAGCAGTGTTTATTTTAAAAAGGTCTCTTTCTTGGGGTGTTTGGGTGACTTGGTTGAGCGGCCAACACTTGATTTCAGATCATG